AGGCAGGTGTGTTGGTGGAAATATGTTGAAGCAGAATAAACACCACCCAATATTTAAAAAATGGAGAAAGAAATTCTATACTGCTTGAAACGTGGAGCATAGGTATGGTATAATCATGTGAGCGCTTCCACCCTACGTCAGAGCCACCAATCCATATGTGCCAGCTGTTATTGCGCCCGAGTTGAGGTTATCAATTGTGCTCTTTTCAAAATGGGACTTGGCTACCAACCCCCATGATGCAAGGATCAAAAGCTTTGTGTCGGTGTCGTGGACACCATGGAGCTTCAAGTACCCGGGCTCCTTCTTCCAAAAGTAATAGCTGTCGAAGCTCGCAATCACCTCATCGCCATTGCATAACTTCCAGCGTCTCTTTGGTTCCTCAATCTCCCACTTGTACTTTTTCCGCTTGGCACCATCATCTTCCAGCTCTTCCCCTTCTTTCTGTGTTCGACTGTCTGCGGTGGCCCGGTCAGTCCTGTCACATCGGCCTTGCGAACTGTCGACCAATCAATAGTGGCTACCACGGTTATATCGTTGGAGGTTGCTGTCTTTGCAGTAGCAGCTTGATCATCGTCAACATCGATGTCTGTGGAGCTGACAATTACTTTTGAAAGACCAGCGTAATAATTGAGTGGTTTGCGGCCAGATTTCACAGCATCAGCATATGTTTTGAATGTGCCTGCATAGGCAACCCAATCCTTTTTGTTTGCTCCGAGGAAGAAAGTGTAGGTGTCAGCAAGTTGCATAGTTTACAAAAAAATATCCAGGAGTGAAGAGAAACAACTAGGCAGATTGATACTTGAAAATGGCTAGGCTAGCTAGCACTATACGCCAATTCTATTTCTCACCTATCCGGAGATTTTCATGTGCGAAGATATCAGGTGGTCTTGGCTGATTCAAAGCGATGTGTTCATGCCGCTCAATGATCGGATTCGTGCCAGCTAATCTCCGATCCATGCAGCCAAGATCCCATTTCGAATATCGAACAATTCTCAAATTGCTTAGTTCACAAATTAGCAGGCTTGACGGAAACATTTAGCTTCAAAAGTAATCAGAAATGTTCACAGACGACAGGATATGCAAATGTTGCAGGATATCAAAAGTTGTGCAAACTATAATAGTATTATAGCTTTGTTGCATTCCAAACGTGGCCATCCCTGACGCCAGCATGGCAGCGGATCCAGATGATGGCGAATCAGATGCCAGCGAGAGTTCTACTGCAGCTTACTCGGCGGAAGCAGCCATCAGCATTTGATGCAATGTGCCAGAAGCTATATCAAAAGCATGCCGTATGTCTAGCTGTGAGTTGCTGGCCGTTTTAAGGCTAGTAACAGCAGCTAGATATTGAGGCGCACTGGCACGGCCGCGTAACATATCTTTCTCTTCTTCTTCAGTATAAAGTTTACTCTTTGCATATTTCAAAATTTATACGCAAAGCACAACAGTACCACGCCACATGCAACTTCTCACACGATGCTGCCCACTTAGCAATTGCCAGTTCTTTGTGGTGTATATAAAGCAAACACTGTCATGGATTCTTAGTGAGCAAAGTTACATCACCCTCATGGTTTCGACAGTTTAGTACTTTCCCGGTATACCAACCACAAATATTGCCAACGAGGGCTTGATAACATGGATATGCCGAAGAGCATTTCTGAGTCGGATGTTTTTATAAATACGGACTATTCTGACCACAAATCTTCTTGTTGTATTTCGAGTGCGATATACATGGGGAACAGTCTCCCGCAACTATTTAGATACATTTGTCTTGCAATAATCCTTTCATGATTTATAGAAGCGTATGAAAATGTGCTCTATGAAAGAAGGGGGAAGGAATCGTAAGGCGAAGGGGTGGTTATCCGCTACTAAATGGTGTCTGCCATTCAGAATAGCGATTGAGGCTATTGTAGCATGGGGGTTCGAGTCCATAGGCTCCCTTTGACCCAGTGATCAGATAGTTGGAAGCCGCCTTGTCGCTCCAAATGCGTTAATCCGATTCCGTCGCCCGCAGTTCTCCTTGAACTCTGCACAATAAATTCCTGGCATCACTGTTTCAAACGGGTCACCGTGCACAAACATGTTAAACTCGGAGCCATGAAAATTAATGCGTCAGGAAAATGTCGGGTACTGTCTAGGTCAGAGGTGGAGCCTGTTGCATATTAGTGTTGAGGCTTACAATCAGATCTATACAGTCATGCCACTACTGTGTCCAGTCTACATAAATGGCTGTGTATCCACGGTGGTAGAGTCCTCTTTAGTTTCTTAGCTGATACTAGTTTTGCCTCTATCAGAATACATATACATCATAAACGGAGCACAGGGATAGCTGGAACATTCGCTTATCTTACATGGGCAACCAGCTTTGAGGGTGTCAGATCCAGGAGGGTTACTCGGACAATATCTGCGCTATGGCACATTTGGACACTGGTTACCTGGACAGAAGCAGCTGCTCTAATTCTCAAAATACCGAACGAAGGGTTGCTGATGGTGTGATGTGTTTGACAGTCATTTCTCGGTCTGTGCGTCCTGAGATCAAAATGGCGCGCTCATTGGTAGTAGCCAATTTGGCTAGCTTTGAGGTGAGTTAGGCTCTGTGCTAGAACCCTAGCGCATATCAAAAGACATAGTCTGTGAAAATGACAAGGGCAGGCGATTCTAACCTCTGACGATTGCCCTCCTCATCTTTGACTTGTTTTAGCAGCCCACGTAATATCTAACAGCATGGCACATAAAAGCATTGTCGATACCAGTAATGGAAGCTGGAAATCTTGGATTCGAAGGGCATCCCAAGTTCTATCTCACTGGCCGGCCAATAAACCCCATTTCATTGCCGATGCAGTTAGCACTCCAGTTTTAGGTGCAGGAGCTACCACCGAAACACATTTGAGCCCACCAGACCCAAATGAAGTTATCCAGAGACTGGAGAGGAACGCTAGCAGCATGGACAGTAAGGAAGTGGGAGTCACTATGGCAGCAGCCGCGCTGGGGATCCGCATGATGCTAAACACTCGTGCTCTTGTTCTCCAGGCAGCTTCAGAGAATAGCGAGGTCTCAGAGGCCCTAAACAATCTGGTTGTAGCGTATGTTCTGGCTGATTGGGCACCAGTTGCTAGTCTGCTTGGAGACACTGAGTAGCATCAGCCAAGATACATGCTGGTGCCAGAAATATGCATGGCTCAGCCGGCTCTCAGTGTGGCTGACTGCTCTCAAGAAATACCCGGTACTTGACTGCTTGAATAAATGTTTTTGTCTCCAAAGTCTTGACCATGCACATGGCAAAGGAGGCGCGGTGAGGAGAGCGCATGGGTGTGGCGTAGAGACGGGAAAACACAATGTCTCCATAGTTGGCAATTGCCCGGAAAAATGGGGATTCGCCTGACCAGTTTTTTGCCGACAGTTGGCAGATTGTCTTTTCAGCACATCTGCCCTCTATCTATTTTCGAGGTTTAAAAATGGGAAGGAAGCACCCTTTAGACGACAAGAACGACAAGGGCCGTCGTGGCAACAAGGTGGCGAAGGAGGAATCGCCAGCCCCCAAGGCCTCTGAGCTGTACTACGAGGAGGGTGGCCTGCAGCGGATTCACCCGTACTTCCACAAGTACTCGACGTACGCCAAGGGGCGGTGGGTTGGGCGCACGATCTTGGAGGTATTTGCCAAAGAATTTCGCGACCGCGACTCAACTTACTACGAGAAGGCGATCATGGACGGTCTGATTGAGATCAACGAAAAGCGCGTCACGCCCGACACAGTTATCCGCAACAGCGATCTTGTCACTCACAAGATCCACCGACACGAGCCGCCAGTCACGCCGCAGCCGCTGCAAATTGTGCGCGAGACCGAGGAGGGAATGCTGGTGGTGGACAAGCCAGGAAGCATTCCAGTGCACCCGAGTGGTCGGTACAACTACAACTCTGTGATCAAGATCCTGGAACTGAAGCATGGATATGCGAAGCTGTTTCCTGTCAACCGACTCGATCGGCTGACATCTGGCTTGATGCTGATCGGGCTGAATGCCGACATGGCGCGCATAGTCGAGCGCCAGATGGTGGAGCACCGGATCCAGAAAGAGTATATCTGCAAGGTCAAGGGCGAGTTCCCTGAAGGCAAGATTGTCTGCGACCAGCCGATCCGCGTAATCGCGCACAAGCTGAGCCTGAACTGCGTGGACAAGTCTGAAGGCAAGCCCTCGCTAACAGAGTTCGAGCGGCTTCACACTGACGGCTCGCACAGCATCGTGTACTGCAAGCCCAAGACGGGGCGGACGCACCAGATCCGCGTGCACCTGCAGTACCTGGGCTACCCCATTGCCAACGACCCGCTCTACTGCAACACCGCAGTGTGGGGAGATCAGATGGGCAAGCAGGGCGAGCTGCCTTCGGATACGCAATGCGATGATGCTCCGGCGCCAAGCGGACTGTCGGTGGCTAATGGCGAAGCGTGGATTCCGCTGGTGCGCCGGATGGAGAAGTGGAAGGACCTGCAGGAGGAAATAGAGCGGGGCGAGGGCGACCGTGTGTGCGACAAGTGCTCGATCCCGGCATACCCGGATCCGCGTCCGGATCAGCTGTGCATCTGGCTGCATGCATGGCGGTACAGTGGGCCCGGATGGTCGTACGCAACCGAGCTGCCGGAGTGGGCCAAGGAGGCTGCCAAAAACATTCCCACTGAGCAAAAGCAAGCCTAATTGTTGACCATGCATGCGACACGCTCTCTTTGCGTGGCGTGCAGAATAAAAATACCCCAATGTATGGTGCACCGTTAAGCAGGTATCCCCTGCTATTTATGTGCTCTTGGCACCTGATCACAACAGTAGAGGCCGGAAGTGCGTGCTATGACTGAACATGGCTACAAGAGTCTATCTGCCGGCTGTTCTGGACAGAGTGTATGTCCTTGTGCATGATACCCACTGATATTGATGTGGCAGGGGCGGTTATTGGTAAGAGAACTCTCCTGTCCATGGCCAGGCTGGAGGGCGCGTCGTAATGGCATATCCAGGGCGCTTTCTCACAGAGCATTGCACGCTTTACCCCGCCTCCGCCTTTCTAATTCCATCCTTCTCACATGTACCAGAAACATTGCGCGGAAGAGAGGGAGTGAAAAATGCAGATGCAGCTATTTATTGGATGGGTAGTTTATGCAAGAGAGCGACTGAGCAAATGTAAAGCTTTTTGGTTACACGTAGATGGAGTATTCCCTGGCCTCCTCGATGGAGATCCCACCACGGGGATCGCAGGTGTTGACGTCGCGGTCCTGGCCAAAGGTGACAAACGGGCTCATGATATTAGATGGAGGGTGGTTGGGTGGTATCAGTGCGTAGCAGGTGTATTGAACCGGAACCAAGGCTGGAAACAAGCGGTGGAATCGGCTGAACGGAGAAATAAAAATGAATGAAATGCAAAGTGCTTGAGGAAAAAAGCACAAACCTCTCGCCGCATGCGAGTATTTATATTCGAACGGAGATATTGCTCGTGTCCGTGGAGCTAGTCTTGTGAGCAAGGGAAAAGCCTTGGACTTTTGCGCCTCCAGCGTTTCTGTTTCTCGTTCCGCCATAGAACGCAGCGTATGCGAAGCGGTTGCAGCAAAAAGTACGAGAGCAAAATGATAGGGACTGTGTGTGCGAAGAGAAAAATAATACGTTACTGTCTAGTGTTCCCTATTCTCTCCAGGTATCGGAAGGGAGGTGGCATTTGGTTCAATCATGCTGTGGCGCTATACCGGGCCTTGCCAAGTGAGCACAACCCGGTGGACGGGAGTGGCACCTTTTTTTATTTATTATTTTCCTTCCTATGCCGTGCAGGCTGGTTGGCGGTCCTGGATTCATAACAGACCCCTCGACAGTCATTCATGGGTGGGATCTTGTCACTCTGTAGCTTGCAGTGTCAATTAGGGCAACAGGGAGCTTCCGATCCAGTGCAGCTTCCGAGTTCATGATGGTGAAACCGGTTACTGCTGCGCTGTCCGATATTGCAACATATCACCGCAGCAACGTAGATAAAAAAGCGCAGTAACGTGCTAGCGCAATTTTTGATTTTTAGTGACTCGTCAAGCGCTGTTGTTAAAAATACCAGCATTTTCACCAACATAGAGCGGCCACCACTTGCCACTGTTATTTTTTCGCCTGCGGTTGTGTCGGAGAATATTGTTGGATCTGGGCGAGTGTGTTACCAGAGTGGCGCAACTGGATTGCCCGATGGGATTTTGCCACCATGTCTACCGGCATGCCTCCTGTTTATGCGAAAAGCTTCTAGTCAATAAAGCGCAGACATCTCCGCTACACCACCTTCGGGTGACATGAGTCAACTTCTGGTGGCCGTTGGGGAACAGTGGCGGGAGGGGAAAGCGTCCTGGCGGGCCGGTCAAAACAGAATTGCCGCCATTTGCTGGTGGCGAGTCGACAATCGCAGGCGCCACCAGTTGCATGGGTCACCCACCCCTATGCCCCCCTCCTTTCTCGCTTTACTAGCCACCCGAGCTCTGGGAAGCGCAACCGTACTGTCAAATGGCGCAATGTATTTACTTGGAGCGCAGGCTATTATTCTTCAAAGTCACTGTCGCTCGGGATCACAATTGGGTCCTTGGTGGTGTTCCCAAAAGCTTGCTGCAGCATCCTCAAATCGTCGGCTTCCTGGCTATCCACACTATCGTAGCCGTCGTCGCCGTCCGTCACTGATAACCTCGGCATCATTCTCAGGTTCAGATACCGGCGCAGTCGGCGGGGCGCTGGGTGGGTTGGATGGCGGATTTGATGCCGGTGCCGATACCGACCCGATTCCATTCGAGTCACCCTCTGCCAGATTCACAATAACCGGGTTGTACGACACGCCGAGAATGCGCTGCATCGTGCCCTTGTGGAAGGTGGCAATGATGCGCTGTCGGGCTGTGACCACCGACTGGTTGACCTTCAGGATGCTGGACAGGAACGAAACAGGCGCCCACGGATCGTCGTTGAACAGTTTGGCCGACTTCCGGTTTGACTTGCCGCCCTTATTGTTTTTCGACCGCTTCGAGCCCGGCTGTTCGGGCACGGCTGTCGCCTTGAGTGTGCTGTTGATGGGCTCGCCGAACTTGCGTGTCTGGTGGTACGCGTAGATGGCGTTGTTGAGCAGGTCATAAGCGCCTGCAAATGTCTGCTTGATCCGGCTGATTCCGTACGTGCCCTTGGTCACGTCGTTTGTCTCGTCGCACGGATCCTCGATCGCCAGCAGGTACGGCTGGCCCACATTCAGCATGTTGCGACTGCGTTTGTCAAAGTAGTTGCCGCTGTCTCTAACGCTGATGCCCACGTTGTCATAGTTGAACCGCTTGCCATACAGCTCAAAGAACTCGGTCAGAAGCACACCCATGTTCTCATACAGATCGAGTCCGCCCGAGCGCACACGCGGGTGATTCTGCAAGAAGCTGACCACCAGCAGCGTGATCGCATACGAGCCCAGGCCGCCAGTGTACACCTCGTTCATCGATCGCTGCGACAAAAACTGCTTGATTACCAGCACAATGCTGCGCAGGGTCTTTGGGTAAACGTGCTCAGAGAACGACTTTTGCACCCTGGCCGATCCCAGGCCGCTGTCAGCATTCACCGAGATGTCAACTGCATATCCGGTGACATTCTCATGCGTCTTGATAATCGGCACACGCGCCTTGGCAATGACTTCGCACTTGGACGCGAAGGTGGAGCGCTTGAGCTCGTGCGCCAGCGTGTACAGAAACTTCCTCACCGAGTCTTTTGTGGCATATCTGCTTGCTACCCGCGTCGTGCCCTTATCGTATATCATCACCGTCATGTCAATGTCCGACGTTGGCAGGAACAGGTTGGTGCTGAAACTGCCAAAGCAAAACGCCTTCGCCTCCACGCCCACCATCTTCAGCCCGTCCAGCACGCGCTGGATCCGGTCAATCACCCACTGCCGCATTTGCCGTTCCTCGCCTGTTGGCGAGATAAAATCAACAAAGTCCTTCACCTCCTCGTTCAGCATGTCGCTGATCGCCGGCTTGCTGCCCTTGCCCAGTCGCTGCTTGCCGTGCAGCCATGGCGGAAGTGGCTGTCCGTTGTAGCACTTTTCATAGGTGGTTGCTCCCGGCAATGCCTCACTGTCTTCTAGGTCGTCCTCCGGCGCCTTGCGCTTTGTGCCCGCTACAACGGGTGCTGGCTCTGTGTCCGACACCTCTGACTCTGACGACGATTCCGCCAGTCCGATATAGTCTTCACCGGTCTCCTTTGAAGTCGCTTTTGTTGCGGTTTCGCTGCGGACCGACATTACAAGAATAGAAAATGGGCGAATGAATGTGCTGTATACTGCAAGTTGAGAAATAAAGAGCTAATGATCGAAATCGATTTTTTTTTTACTCTGGTTGAAGGGTACTGGTACCACGCTGATCACGATCAGAGCCCATCAGATCAAAACGCCTTTATAAGCAGGCACGACAGCGTGGAACCGGCCCTTATCGTCAGCGCTGCTCTCTTCCACTTGCTTGTCGCATATTCTCACTTTTTGCATACTTGCAGAATGCTGCCTGCCTACAGACCCATTGCCGGCAAAATGCTTGCCCGGCTCAACACCGCCACACGTCTGGCCAGCCATGCCTCGCCCCTGTCCATGCAGTCGCTGTTGCCGCTGGGGCCTCGCTTTGGCGCCATGCGCATGTCCAATGTGCCCGATTACGAAGAAAAGTACCGCGAAAAGATGCTGCAGCGGGCCAAGGAGCGCGGCCTGGGCTCAATTGAGGAACTGAAGCAAAAGATCAGGGAGGAGGAGCAGAAGGCAGCCGAGCAAAGCCAAAAAACTGCGACCAAGCAATTGGACGCACAGCCATCAGGCAAACAGCCAACGACTGCGCCAAACGCTGTGCAGACTGCAGCAGCCAAATCCGAGCGCCCGCTTGACAGGAGCTCGAACCTAAGTGCAAACAACTTGCCGCCAGGCGTGAAGTCTCTTGATGAGATCATGCGCACTGATCTGCTGGCCGACAAGACGTCCGAGGAGGTCGGCCACATCTGGAACCAGTACCATGCGACAAAGGACACGATCTCGGCGGCAATCCCAGCCTCTACCTACAAGGACCTGCTGAAGACTGCGAGCAAGAACCCGCTGTTTGTTATTCCCTTGCCGCGCGAGGAGGGCGTCGAGTTCTTTTTCATGCAGTTTGACTACCACCAGGTATACTTTACGTCATTGCTCGAGTACAAGACCAACACGATCAACGCGCGGCCGTATCTGACGCTGACACATTACACGGATCTGATGGACTCGAAGGGCGTCGTGCTGATGCGCGGTGAGCTTGACGACAAGAGCAAGATGATTGATACGTCGAATGCCCAGTATTTGGCCCTGCAGATGCAGCAGTTCTATGTCACTGGCGGGGAGGAGAAGCGTCGGATTTTGGAAAAATTCAACCACAAGCCTGAGGAGTTCGACTACAATGAGCTGATGGAGGCTGCTCAGAAGCTGGACTAGATCAATAAAAGACGACTCAGCGTTGTGTAGCCATGGAGCATATATCGGCGGTCATGCAATGCGTGTATTGGCCATGTCTGGTGTAGCACACAAAGCCACCATATGTAGACCCTTGGTCGCTATATGCAGAGATTGTTCTATGCCGCAGCCATCGCATTCGTGGATTGGATTGTATTATTTAGTGGCTTAGGCGGATTCGGATGCCAGCACAGGCAGGCGCTTGGTATAGTTGGATAGCCGCAGCACTGCTTCTGGAGTCGGAGATCTTGTTAAAAGGAGCGCTTTCGTGTCCGTTGAACTGAGACATCGCTTCCCTCTTTCTTGCGTCTCACACTTCTAGAGATACCAATCAAACTGGACAGTATACAGGCTACAGGCCATGGAAATAATATCTGCCTTAACCGTGTATACTGAGGGTAACACGTACCACTCCCTCAACTTCAAGGACCAGGAGGGGAACTGGTACAATAAAACTAGCAATGAGATGATAAAGTTTACACCCGATATTGCTGGGGATAGAGTGGATAGGACGAAGCTCTGCCCAGAGTACAAGGGCTACAAGATGGCCAGTGGCTCGGTTGAAGGGAAGCACGTCAAGACCCCGATTTCAGACTACTACGCGCTGGATAACTCATACATAGTCACTATGCGAAACGAGATTGAGGCCTACGAGAAGCTGGGGAGTGGACATCCGAATATCTGCAAGTACCATGGCTGCCAGGTCGAGGATAACTTGGTCACAGGGATCGTTCTCGATGAGTACAGCGAGCCGCTAGAAGACGCTGTGATAGACAACCCACAGCGGCTTGTTGAACAGCTCGAGGATGCTGTGAGATACATTCACTCGGTTGGAGTTGTCCATGGGGATATCAACCCAAAGAACATCATGGTCCACGATGGGAACCTCTTTCTGATTGACTTTGACAGCTGTGGGGCTGATAATCCAAAGAGTGGAAGCGAGGGCTATATGAGTCCAAACTACGCGAAGACTGAGGCTGACGACTGGTATGCAGTGGGGAAAGTCAAGGAGTTCGTCATGAAGAGCGCTCGTAGTAACGATGAACCGAGGGGCGACCGGCCACAGCAGGGCACAGCCGAATCGGCAGCGTAGTAGCGATGTGCCAGAGAGTACCAGCATTGGGCAAGGCCTCAAAGCTCATCGGCGGCACCAGCAGCATCGGGGCGTATTGGCTCAAGGCAGTTTCTTTTATTCGGGGCTTTTTCCTCAGGCTCCGCTTTTTCTTTTGTTGCCAATTTTCTGTTAAATCAGGTTCGACTATTTTTCACAATG